CATCCCATTTGGATAAATTGTCAGTCTTCACTTGTGAACTCAATATAATTAGTGAATGATGCCTGGCGGGCGTAGACATAGGATTTCTCTTCGAGTCTTTAGTTCGATGTCTTAGGAGTTCGCGCTAAGCTCGCTCGCGTGAGACGTCGAGTTGAACACGAGAAGAGAAATTCCGAATCTACAAGGACCATGTATTATTTTGTTTTTTTCAGAAAAGACTTCTCAGATGGCTTCCTCACCGGAGTGTATAACCTGGATGATTGTGGGCCTGACCGAGTCTGTCACCATAGTAGTGCTGAATTCGTTGACAGGGATTGCATTTTGTAGAGACCGTAATCTTCGTAAACGATCCACATACTTGGTGATAAGCTTGGCAGTTGCAGACATGTTATCCGGGGGAATTTCTGCACACGATCTTCTCTATAATGTTGGAGAGATGTGTAACTTCTGGGGACACAATAGAGCGTATTTGTATATACCTCAGGTGTTCATCCTCTGGTTTCCTGTTTGTTCTTTAACAATTATGACTGTTATTTCTCTAGAACGCCTGAATGCAACGTTTTGGCCCTTCAGACATCGTACGATCAAAAAGTCAGTCTACTGGGTTCTTATCATCGCCATCTGGTTAACAGCACTACTCTTTTCATGTGCATTACTAATGATTTATTACTATACAGATAAACTGGACTATTATTACTACGCTTGGGGTTCATTCATCTTAATTTGTCTTTTGGTCATTTGTGTTTCTTACGTTTTTATATTTGTCAAACTTCGCTTTGGAAATCAGCCTCGTCACCATGGCGCAGCAAATAGGGAAAGGAAACTAACCGTGACGTTGTTCACCGTGACTTCTCTCTCTCTCCTAATGTGGCTGCCTTATGTTATAACTACTTTTCTGTTTTTTGCCACTAACATTTTCATGTCATTGTCTGATATAGCGTTTTTCCGTCTACAACATGTGTCAATAATCTTGCTTTACGCAAACTGTTTTTTAAATCCGATAT